TGACTAATTTTTCAGCTATTTTTTCAACTTTGTGCCAACCCACTAAATCGATTCCCAATCGAAAAATAAAATGTCAATTTTAAAAATCCATCAATAACATCATATCGTATCTTCGTTATTTATGGTTAGAAAAATTTTAGAATGCGATTTTTAGAATCAGCTCTGAAAATAATGTAATTTAAAATTATTTTCATCCTTAAATAACGTACTTGTTAAAAACGTAATTTATGGACTTTATTTTCACAAAATTATTTTTCAAAGGGGAATCGATCTAGGGTATAAATTCAAGTTCTGAAAAATTGTGCATGTCATAATTTTTATTATTGTAAAAATCACCATGTTACCCCTCGAGTCTCTTACTTGTCAATTCAATAATTGTGGCAAATGTTTTAACCACAAAATTCATTTACATCGACATAAACTTAGAGATCACTTAAATGTTAGATTTGTTTGCAATTGGAGTGAATGTCACAAACAGTTGACATCAAAATACCGCTTAAACCGACACCAGAATAATGTTCATTTAAATAAGAAAAATCAAATGCAATGTTGAATGTTGTGGCAAAACAAGTACGGTAATTTACATACAGTAGAATATTTTGTATACAGTATTTTAATTTTTAATTAAATTAGTATGTACAGAGTATACTTAAGAATAATAAAATAATCAATTATTTTGTATCAATTATTAATATCTGGGTTTCAACTCAAATATCTCTCTCAATATGGTTTGTCTAACACTCCGGGCGTCTGTCCTCTTAATACTTTCCAAATGTTTTTCGCCTAAAATATTTAAATCCTTCAAACACTTCATGAGTTTTGAGTATTTGTGTTGTTGTGACTCCGATTTCTTGCGATATTTCAATAGTATATAGCGATGAAGTAAATACATGTATATATTTTGCTGTAATCTATTAGATTAGGAATAATAAAATTCTTATTGAATGTAATGTTTAAAAATATATAACTATTTTTGACTTACTTTACTAACTCCCGGTGCGTGAGCATGGGTCGGTCCGGATTAAATAGTAAGATAGCTGTTAACTATTAATTAACAAATAATTAGTAAGGTTTTTAGCAATGATTTGATTAAATAATGTAATACCAGATCGAGTACTACTGGATCGGAGTCCAATTCCTGGGACAGGGAGTGAAACACCCGCTTAAATGCCATGCTATAAGCGTATGGAAACATCTGATATAATGTAAGTATCATTGAATTCTCGTTATCCTGATCAATCAATTAAAACAAAATAGTTAAAAATATCTTAACATAGATATAAAACATTTTATAAAACAATATCTTACGATAGGATACGTCCAGTGGTCGCTGCTATAGTCATAGGCCGGTAGGGAACGCATACAAAACATGATGAAACAGCCGTACTTTATAAGGGAAATCCTATCATTCTCGCATAGCGTGTCAAATGTACCAAGGTTTTGAAACATTTGTACGGCACACATGACCTGTCTCTCCAGATTAACCCCAACCACAGTATAGATGTCATGGGAATCCCTGGCCACTGTTGGCTCGGGTGCTACGGGAACCTCATGCTCAGTGAATATATGCGTGGCGTTCAACAGCTCCTGTAGTTTATTGATCTCTAATTCATTCATTTCATGACTGTTTGCAGTTATCGGCGCTGCGATAGGTATGACTGATAAGTCCGGTTCGGTATCACTATTAT